GATAAATTGCCAATTGTAGATAATCATAGAAAAAGAACAACATATCACCAATCAAATTTAAATTTGATATAATTATTAATAAAATAACAGAGTATTATGCTGTATTGCGATATCCAGTGTTACAGTGCATCATACTGCACTATGCTATAGTACTATGTATTATGCTGTATAATTCTCAATTATACTGAAATATTCTGTATCGTGACTCAGTTTTAATCAAATCTATTCTATTAACATGTTGATCCCCCCAAAATAAATAATAGTCATTGAATTACAAATAAATAATTAACGAGACTTTCATACTAAACAGCGATTTTAAGCAAAGAAACTATAGTAACTAAAACCGTCTCTAGAATTGAGAGAATAATATTTATGGAAACCAAAATGATAATTACTCAAAAAAGGCGAGTAATATATTTATAAAAAATAATATACAGATATTAATTATTACGCACTCAGAGAAAATTACCCGTTTAAGATATATCGATCGAAAAAAAATGAAAGAAATAATTCATATGTATCGATATATTTAACAGATAATTTTCTCTAAGTACGTAATAATTAATATCAAATTTGTAACTCAAGAAGATGATCGTGAGATCAAAATGTTAACACGTACCTACAATTGTAGTAGAAGCTAAAAGTGAATGTTTTCACTCCATTTTTAGAAATCTATTATTTGGCACTCGGCCACTTAACTCTCACTCTACGATTTCTTTATCGCATGATTACTTTGATATATGGAATCTAGATATTCGCTGATCGTTACTGGGTACAGAAACACGGCAATCGCCAAAGAAAAACAAACTATGACGTGGGAGAAACGTAGCTCCCTTTGGCAATCGATAGTCACTTACGGACGTAAGGAATCTCGACGGTGCTGGAATAGGTGACCACGTAAACCCAAGTAAAATCCCAAGGCTGGACGAAATTGTATTCGTAATTGAAAGATAACAATTAGAATACTAGCTTGTTTAAGTAAAAATATTAACGATCATTTTAGTTCTAGGACGAATTCTATATATTTATAAAAGAGTCTCAAATATAATTATGAACTCGTTATTTTCATAAATAAATTTCTACATAAAGAATAAAATTATGAATCATTAATAAGAGAAATAAAAACCATAATAATTTACATAAAAATGGAAATGAATAATTGAAATAATGAATACGTATATTATACGTATTTGTAGAATAAAAACTATTCTTTCTTATCAGAAATAATGAAATTGACAATTGTCAAAGGATAAATACATATTTACATGAGAGATATATGAATGAACTAGAAAATAGAAAAAATCATCTCAATATGTAACGAAAATGTAATATTCTTGTTCTTCTAATTACTTTTTCTTATAAATAGATATGGTTACACTAAACTGCTCCAAAATACAAGTAAAATTAAAATATAATAATTACCGAAGAGCAAGTTTTTGTTCTACTTTCATATTTCATAAATATATGTTGGATGTACAGTAAACCGTTTTTATCCTTATTTCGGACACGTAGAGGTCCCGTTATTGTCGACCAAAAAGAACAATTTCTATTTTACCAGATGTAATATACATGAGGTCAACATTTGAATTCTTCATTTCATTTGTTTGTATATTATTAGAAATTCTGTAGTTTCATTTCTCTTATCAATGTTTCCTAATTTTGTTGTTTGTATAAATGTATAAAAGCCTGACCCTAGATTAAAATAGACGGCATTAATGTAATCAAGACAATTTATAATTATTTTTCAAGGAATCCGAAACAGTTTCTTCGCGTTCAACGATGTACGAATATATTAAGTAACATACTCTTATCATCGACATCTAGAAATTTTCGATCAATCCATTGCCACAAATTAATAAAAATTAATTTCCTCGAAAGATATGAAAGAGGTTATTGAATTAAACTGAAATGTACACAATGGACAAAATAATATTTTACGATCGTACTTGAAAATGTCTGCTCGAAAAAAATTAAACGTACGCGTGCAGAAATATTAAAATGTTATTCGAAGCTAATCTCGCTATATCTGATTGAAATATTTACGTTGAATTATCCGATCCTCGATTAGATATTTCGTCGCTCCATAATCACGTTCGATCGTTATTTTCGATATTAGTCTTCCGGGGAAAAGAAAGCAAAATTATACTTTCAAAATGGTAAAATGAAATAACACGTTATCTACGGTAAGATATGTATTACGTAATGTTACTTCATGGATGCTCCGATAAAAATCAAAAAGTTTAAGACTAGACCTGACACTTTTCTACTAACGAACTCGAGTATTCGAATATTTCAGTATTCAAATGTTACTCCAATATTTGAGTATTGGAAAATCATTAACCGTATATCAAATAAACATAAAATTTAAAACGAGAAAACCGAAGCTAGTAAAACTGCTTGAAATACTGGTTTCTATTTACTTTCTAAATGACCTCTGCGTTGGTTAGTTTCATCAATTATAAATACTTCTAATTTTATATTCATACCTTATACAATATTCTCTATTAATTAAATTTAGATAAGTGTCAAAATATACATATGCATTTGAGTACGTTTTTCTTTCTATACTGAATTCCCGAAGAGAACTCCAAATTAAGAATCGAAACATGAAAGAAACTCGAATATTATTCTAGACAGTTTAAGTGAAAGATTTTACATAACACTGCATAAATGATGAAATCACACCAAAAAATAATGAATTATCGATTAATATCTTTCAATACTAAAGAACTAAATTTACCAGTGAACACTAAACAATTCGAACGTCACGAAGGACCAAATACACGATCGGTGTACAAAATATTCGACTACTAAAACATTCGAATTACACTCGCCGAATATTTAAACTGTTTGTTTTCGAATATTCGAATACAGACAATATCGACAAATAGTCCTAGCTCTATCCGAGGTTGACGTGCGATCCACGAATTCCACCTGACTCACCTCTGTTCCCCAGGGAGACGCGGTCGAGAGATTTCAAAATTCGAAAGCTCTTTCACGCCATAATCGTTGCAGTAGGCCACCAAGAGTCCGGTTCAAGGCCGACGCAGCGGCTCAAGAAATAAACGGGAAACGTTCGAGTAGCGGTTCCCGGAGGATTCCTCGACGATGACAGTAGGAAAAGATCGGTGGTAACGAACGCGAATTTTTCACGTACACTGTTTAGGCTAGCACTTGACGCGATCTTTTCGCCGCTAACGGTTCCCGGCACAACGTGCTCGCGACACAAACAAAAGGTGACTGCGGGACAACGAGTGTCCTAGCCTGTTTACCTCCTCGAATTCGACCACAAGACCCCACCCTCGTGTTATCGATCCTATCAGCGCACGACAAACAGGCAACGTACGTTTTCGGGAAACAGGGATCGAGCGTTGACAGGTCGCGGGGACACGAGAAAAAACAACCGTGGAAAGGACGAAACTCGTCACGCCGTGTCTGCGTGTAGATATCAAACGGGAGCGTGTTTGTTACTCACGTATGCGTGCGTTCTCCCGTTGCTGCTCGATTCCAGGATCGCCGGCGAGCCCTTTACACGAGGATTTCACAATGATCGAGCATTCGACGCGACGACGTCTCACTTTGTAGAATTTAACAGTCAGGGTGTGCCCTGAATTTCTATGCGACCAACAGCATCCGTCAAACGTGAACTACTGCCGCCATCTTGACACGAACGCCCGCAGCGCCGCTTGGCGGACGATCGCGCAAGCGCTGCCTCGACCGCGCGGGATAATTCAAATTGCGGACAATGATTTCAACCTTACGCGAACCTCTATTTTACTATCATTCGATTCTCTAATTTATGATAGTCTTCGAAATATTAACAGCAAAATAAATTATTAATCTTATTAAGTGTAGAAATTAATTCTGTGGCTTTACATTCAATCGTTTACAATTGTAACTTAAGAAAAAATATTTACAGTAATTTTCTAAGTTCTCAACCTGATAGATACTATAATTTATATATTGAAATACATAGATTACTTCGACATTCGGTTTTATGACTATATGTACCATCTTTGAATGTGTGACTGAGGGAAAAATTACTTTAGAGAAGCACAGAATTCATTTCTACATCTATTAACAAGAAAATCAATCAACTGTCCTCCAAAGGACCAAAATAATCAATGAAATATAATTGATAAGAACAATTTTAACGTAAAATTTAAAAATCATTATATACGATGTAGGATGTTAGTAGATAATTACGCGCGATTGTTTATTTATTTAATTTATACGATATTTATTTTCAATGTTAAAAATATAACTCGCTAACGGGTGTTAAGATGATTCAACATTCAATAAATAAATAGAAAAAAAATAAGCACAGACTTGTGAACAATACTCGACGACAATTAATTGTCACAATTGTGACAATATATACATATATACTATAAATTATAATACCTTTTTTATTTAATGATACTTTTATAGATATTTATGATTTACTTTCTTGGTAATATACCCACGATAGTCTCAAATTAAAAAACCAAAATAAAATAGAAGTTCGTTCAAGAATTCGTTTAATTATTAATAATTTGAGCTCACGAGCGAAATTTTCTCGAGAAAAAAAGAAAACCCAAAATCGATATTTCAATATTTCTGTTGACGTCCTGTCACGTATGGTGACAGTTTGCAAAATTATTCCAGTTCTAGTGATTCTACCAAAAAATCTTCTCACTAATTCTATCGTAAATTTTTCTATCGTCCAATGAAACTATCTCGATAAAGATATAATTGGCTTGTCGGTCATAAAATCGTAAATTATTTCTCTTATTGAAGAACAATACTACATACATTAAAATAAGGTTAATTACGAAGATATAGAAAGCATATAATTTAAATATTTAAAAGTACGTTATGTTTCTCGAAAAAATGATCGATAACGCACAAATGTATCAAGTTTGAGTTTGCGTTGCGTATTCCAGATCGTCCAGTGACGTTAGAGTAAACAGAGCCCGCGAGTGGCCGGGGTTCGCGAATATTGCTCGGCGTCCCTGGTTTCGATTGAATCGACGTTTTCGCCAGCGGTAGTAGCAGTCCCTGGGCAGGCAGAATGCAACTGCGTGGTGACACGGAACGACGGACCTAGTTCGCTAAATTTGGACACACGTGCAATTTCTGGTACGTAATTGTCGCGAGTGACGCGACTTGTTCGACCAGGCTTGTTTATTTCGTCAGTCGACGCGATCGTGAAATGGAACGGAATTCTATTAATCGGCTTTTCGACCGACTGCTTTCAGAACACGTGTGGGTCGAGCGACCACGTGGGCCGCGTGTACAGAGAAACAAGTGCTGCACATCGTCCGGTGAGTGCATTCAGAAAAAACTGTGATATATCTCCACTATCGGGCGAAATGGCTCGTAGAGAATGAAACACCATTTTAGCCGAACGAGAAATAATCCAGAAGAATCACTGCCAATTGTCGAATGAACGAATAACTCGCTCCGAAAGCGTTAACCTTTGACGATGGTATTTTGAGAGAAATAAACGTTCACGAGCTCGCAGTTAACTAGTGTTTCTTCCAGAAAGTCCATTTTAACGTGTATAGGATAGAGGCATATTCGAAATATGTAATGAGACATATCTATGTATTAGAGACAAAAAAATGTGATATAGTTTATAGTAATTTACCAATTTATAGAAGACACTTGTAAGTAAATTAGACAGGAACATGTATTGTTAAATCAAAGACAAGAGCTGTATCGCTAAAAGACTGATAGCATAAGGAAATACGAGCAGGAATTCTCATCAGTTGACATAACAGAGGTATAGAGTTATGGCCCAAGAAGAACCGATATCTAAGAAGCTTAAATATTCCGTCATCTCGGATCATGTATATTCGTCTAACTTTCAACAACTTTTCCATGACCATTGGCACAATTTCAGTGATGTAAAGAAGGACAATCTTGAGATTATATCGAAACCCTTTAGAATATGCAAAATTTCAAATTTTTTATCCAACGAAGAATTCATGGATGAAATAAAGAATGAATTGTTAGATGTCAAAAGTAGAAGAAATAGTATAGATCTTTATCAGTTTGAGCAGACCAGCGATCTTGCCAACATCGACACTAAAAACTTGAAGCTTTTGTACAAAACTTTTCAAACAGACTTAGCGATATGGATGGAACGCAACACTAAGATAGAACTTAATAACAAAATATCAATGTCCAGCGCTTGCTATTCCGATACCGACTATTTGCTTTGCCACGACGACAACATAGGCGATCGCAGAATTGCTTTTATATTGTATCTTTCAAAAAACTGGACCACCGAGGATGGAGGAGCCTTGGATTTATTTGACACGGATGACAATGGATTGCCTAGAAATGTTGTAAGATCGTTAGTACCGGAATACAACTCTCTTGTATTCTTTGAAGTTGTAGATAATTCTTACCATCAAGTAGCTGAAATAACTTCACCCGATAAATCTCGTTGGACTATTAATGGTTGGTTTCATGGACCTCTTAAAGAAAGTACCAGGCCTCCAAGACCAGATATAGAAGTAAATTATATAGAACCAATTAATACCCAGGTAGATTTGGACAATTGGATAACAAAGTGCTACTTATTTTCTGATATTGTTAAAGAAATTCAGCAAGACGTAGAACAAGAATCATTTGCATTTTTATCTAATTTTTTAAGAGAAGATATTTATGAAAAATTATCATCAGATCTATCATCGACTGTAATTGTTTGGCAAAAAGTTGGTCCAGCAGATATCCGCAATTATGAAGTAGCAAAAGAGGAGACCCTCCCTGAGCTACTGAAACAGTTTTACAATATATTTAAATCTGTTTCTATGTTTCAATTGCTGAAGGACTACACAGAATTGGATCTTGTACCGGATAAGGAGACCATCAAACCCAAAATGACCATAGAACTGCAAAGGTGGTCGAAAGGTTGCTACACGTTGATATCCGACAAATCTGCGCTTCCCATGAGCGAAAAGAAATCCAGTAGCAACGGATGCACAAATCAAAATGAAGAGGGGCAAGAGGACTCGTCGGATATACCGAGGACGAGCAAAAGCGGTAAAAGCCTCCAAGAAAAAATCAGCAGCGATGACAAAAGCGCAGAGTCGGGTTGCGATACTCCTCTAAGTAACAAAGAGGACGAGGAGATCGACGAGGATGAGATACTGAAAAAGATACTGAAAGGGAAATCTCCCCGATCGAAGAAGAAAAACTTATCCCAGCAATCGTCCTCGTCCAAATTAGAGACTCTTTCGCCTCAAAAATTAGGTAGGCTTTTGGACACCGATGATTCGGACGTATCGGACATAGGGGATTACTTGTCGGACCCTTTGGATTGTTCTCTCGAATGTTCCGATCAGGAAGATCAGGAAGACATAGAGGATACGAACGTTTCAGAACCAGGTGCTCTCGATGTGATAATTCAATTTCATACGAATCATGTACCCGAGGACGACACGATAGATTACGTAGATCCTAAAGAGCAAGAGGGTGCTCTGATTCACGTACCTGCAAAAAACAACCACCTCTGTCTGGTCTACAAGACGCTGGGTACTTGTCGGCTTCAGAAATATGTGAATCATTACTGTAAAGATTACTTTTACAATCTGATTTGTACATATTACGAATAGTAATTCCACTCGCTGGGTGTCCGAATCGATTGTGACGCGATCCGCGGATGACTTGGGAATTGTATAATGAATTGCGGACGAGAAGCGTGCGCCTTAAAAAAATGTATCATAGTATTCGTATTAATAAAATTGTCAGTATTTATCGTCGGATATTTCTTGTTGTGTTCACTTTTATCCTCGTAAATTTACATTGTACTATACATACAGTATAGCTATGCATATAATACAGTTGCCAAAGATTTTCGATCACGCTTGGGATTTCATCATATATTTCGGATAAGGTGTCTTTGTAAAAAAAGGGGGTTATTGCACAAGAACAGTATTCACTGGATTTATAAAATATGGTATTGTTAAAGTAATTGCAAACAGAATTTTATTGCTATCAATTCAAACAAGGACAGAGATTGACAAAAGTTTCAAGTTATAGAATTAAACTGCAGTAAGCAAAGAATGTAACAAAAAATTCGACATAAATTTTTCATATGTCAATGAAGTACGTTTAATACTTGGTGCTACAACTTTTTAATGCAATTAGTGGCATAACGTCGGAGCATTGAATCGGTCCGCACAATCTTAGGTATTTCCAATAATTTGAGAACAAAAATTTGTTTAATACAATAGTTAATTAGTGTTGAATCGGCTATAAATTTTAATATAAAAATTTTCCAAACAAATCTTTTTATTTTATTAAAAATAAAGTAACTTTTTACCAGTTACAATGTTGTGAATTTAACACAGTCCCATTTTATATAAAAAAGGTTCCTTTGGAAATTGTTTACATTAAAACTTGTAGCTAACAGAATACTAATTAACTTTCGTTGCAAACATATTGTTTTCATCAAATTATCATTAACTTGTTTAGTAGCCTTTTTTTTTGCAGAAACCTTATTTGAAGAATGTGGTAAAATTACAATACGGCCGAAAACTGTTGATAGCGATAGGATCTCGTTGAAGTCGATCGTTCTGTGGGATATTAATTAGGATGTTCGTGCTACTTAAGAAAACCACAGTGCAGAAAAGAATTCTCAATAATTTATTGGGTGTAATACACATTTCTATTGCTTACGGTTATGTTACGGAGCTAATGTTAGGTGCAGTAAGGGTTCATGCGTGGATTTAGCTATACTCTACTGTTTCTTTACGGTGCAAGAAAAGCTCGAGGGAAGATTCAAAGCAATCGACACAATCCTCATTTCGAGATACAGTTTTCAAATATCAGAGAAATAATAATAATGTTAAGCTTACGATTTGCAGGCGTTATTACAGTCGATTTCGGGTTGTTGCACTTGTATCCTAGGCTGCGAGGAGTATTGCTGTTCCTTGCCATCCCTACCGACTTTCACGGTAACCTGATAGGTAAAACACCTCGATATAAAGTGCTAACGAATCGTAGCGATTCGTCGACGGTTATTACGCGGAATCGGTAAGAATGCAATTGTCACCCGACTGTTTGCGTTTCGAATTGCGTTTGCGTCTTCTATTTAAATTGCTCGAGGCGGAAGCCATTAACGGACACGCCTTCGATTTGTCTTCGTTCCAGACGACTTAAGTCGTCCACGGGGTAGTCGAACGTCTGGAGGATCGATTACTCTTAATTGTGCGAATTATAATATCGAGTCGCAACGTTAACGAGACTTGAACGGGGGTAAGTCACTTTGGACGTGTGAAAATCATAGGTATATTCAAGATTTTTCTTTTCGAAAGCAATTGAGTTAATGGAAAACTTGTTTACTAGGGTTCATTATACATATATCGAGTAATACAAAAATAATTTTTATTTGGATTTTCTGAATAATATAGCAACGCTGGAGCCATTACGTGGCAAGAGTGACTTTTAAATTAGCAAAGCGGGGTTCTCGGGTATGATTGGGCCTGGAATGAAAAACCAGGTGTTTTCATTTTCTATTCGATACATACTATTGAAGTACATAGAGATTTTTACGATAAGTTGAGAATATTTCTTGTTACAGACATACTAGTCTGTAAATTTTGTGTCAAAACGTTGTGTTAAAAGATTCTCTTTCAAATGTTCACTATTTTTACAAAAATTGATATTTTGAAAAATCCGTATGTAGTTCTATAGTATATATCACGTAGAAAAATAAAAATACGTCGTTTTTTTAGGTCTAACCATACCTAAGAACCTCGCTACGTTGATTAGAGAGTCATTCCAAAAGAAACTTGTGCTGTAATGGCTACAGCATCGCTATTTTATTTAAAAGATCTAAATCAAAATTATGTTTTCATTACTGAACATACGTATAATAATATCCAGAAACAGATCTTTTATTGAGTCAATTGTTTTCGGAAAAGAAATTGTTGAATATGCTGTGATTTTCACGTGTCCAAGGTGTCTTCCTCCCTTGAGGTGGGAATTGCTTTTTTCTGGGTAAAAAAATCGATTGTTTTTTATAGAATCTTATAGTACGACCCTTGAAGAAGACCCCAGCTATGCAAATTTTTAAGACGTAATTCATGAAATTGACAAAGTTATTGGCCTAGGAGGTTTGTTTTTGAGAGGACCGATGTCTTTATCTAGAAATGTACTTACATTAAACTTTAAACGCTTTTTTCTCGAAACCCTATCGATTTCAAATTTGTACTATATATTTAAAAATAATCCTATCGACTAACGAAGGTAAGATAATGTTACATATTTCGTTTTTTATTAAGAGATGTTTTTCCTGAAAATTTGAACTTTTGAGTTGGATCGGCAGCCATTTCTAGAAAAATAATTCTTTTTCCATAAAGATTTGTGCATCATATTAACCCTTTGCGGTCGTATGTCTGCTCTCAGCCACCACAACAAAGAACCATACTAATCTTATATTGTATTCCGCAAACTGAAAAGATTTAAGCTATTAGACAATAGTAATAGATTCTAAGATATTAGTGTAATAATAGATTAATGGAAAGATTAATGAAAAGATCGTTAGTAATTATATTAAGTTATACAAAAATATATGAACCAGTGGGTGAAATATCTACATGTTAAATTTTTCAAAGACAAATATATTGAATATTGTTATTTTTTCTGTAACAGATTGCAATAAATACCAGATAGTCGAAAATACTTGGTAGAATTCCAAATAATATTTTACAAATTGTGTTTAAGTGTAATTAGCCATTCTGGGTTCTTAACAAATTTCAAAAACAATACTCCAAAATGCCAAGAAGAAAGTTACCGAAAGATACCACATGACGGAGAACTATAAAATATAATTTTTACATGAAAACGTTACATTAAAACACATTATTGTGTAAACATATATCTAAAGTCCACAAAAGAATGAATAAATCTTGTTTATCCTTCATTAGCTTGCACATTATGTATCACTGCTCGTTCTTCGGAAATTAATTCCGACCAGAACAATAGCCATGCCTAAATTTAATACGACCGCAAAGGATTAAAACATTAATAGTAGCGTGCGTAAATTTCAAATGAAAATCTTGCACAATTCTTTCGACAAAAAAATCAAGTCAACTAACCGCTTTTTTATACCTACAAAAACAATTTCCCCCTCAAACGAAAATAATTCGGGACGTGGAAGCTCCCTAAATCTGGAGCGAAGGTATTTCCACCAGTCCAGCTCTAGAAACAAAAGGTATTAATCACCTGAGACGTGGTCGGAATTCCAGCCATGCGTTTTCTCAGTTCGTTCAGCTGCAATTCCCTCTGGAAGCTCGCGTCACTTTCCTGGGAATCCTCGCGTATACCTTCGTTAATCGATTCCGCGGAGTACTCGACCTGCACCCACGGACAGATCGTCGGCGATGCTTGCAGGGCATTCTTGCTGCCAGGTCGCGATAGCCGAGGAGAAAGTCTACGTAGCAGCGAAATTAGCTTCGATCTGAAACGGGGACTCGTGTTACAATAAATCGTCCATTACGATTCCAGTACTTGCGAGTAAGAGATTGACGAGTACTTTGTGCTGGGTGTCTGGAGGTGATCCGAGCCGATCGGTCCGCTTCGCGAAAGCTGCTCTGCGCTGCGGGTCGTGTCTCTCCAATGGAGCTTGTTGATGGTCCGTCCCACTCGCCAGTCCAGGCTGCTGCTTTGTCGTGACTGAAAGCCTGAAAAGTAAGTCCGAAATGTTATTTTTTGCATGATCTTTATAGCGTGACTTGAATGAGGGCTTATTAACCTCGGGATTGGCAAGTCTCGGGTTCTACGAATCCACAATTCTTATTGTACATTTATTCTGAACAAAATTTATTTTTGGAAAATGTTTTGTTATAGCTTCATGTGTAGCATTTATGTGTATTTATAAAAATTAATTGAATAAGAGCTGCATCACTTTTGGCATTTGTATCACTTTCGTCTTCGTGACTTCCCAATAACATTACAAATATCGAATATAAAATGATTAAAAAACCTCTTCACACCCTTGGCTATATAATTACCGTCAATAATGAAATGAACAAAAATTTGATAATAACAAAAAGAATCGTCCCCGAAGAGGTTAAACTAAAATATAAACTAATATAAACGAAGTAAGACGTAATAATAGTTAAAAAGACAATTATAAAAAACTAAAACACAGAAGTATTCACAAATATAACTGTATACTACAGCTTTCACGCCTACAAGAGTATGAATTTTCACTTCGTACTGCTTCTTTCGAAGTCTCAACTATAATTGCGAATATTGCATCGTTCCTTCCCAACGAGTGCTATAAATTCCATTCGATTCTTTATCGTGTAGTTGTTATTCTTTAGATGAAAAGAGCGTACGTATCATTGTGTCATCATGACGTGTGACGCGTATACAGAGTGTCCCAGAATTAGTGTAAGAACCGGAAATGGGGGGTAGCTGAGACGATTCCAAAGCACAATTTCCTTTGCAAAAATGTCGGATGGTGCTTCGTTTTTGAATTATTAACCATCGACCAATCGCAGCGCCCGAATAGCGAGCGTAATTACAATCGTGTAACTTGAATTGTAATTGTTTAAGTGACTAAGGATGGCGTCCTCTCACTCACGAAAAGAGCAGAGTACCGTCGCGAAACGCATGGAGATCCTCCAGAGGTTAGAGGAAGGCGCGACTGTTAATCAGCTTATCAGCGAGTATGGGCTCAGTAGGGCGACCATATATCGTTACCAACGGAATGCAGTCGCGATTCGACAAGCCGCTGAGAACAGGAGGAGAAATTTGAGAAAGAAGCCGTCGCTGGTGCACGATGTCGTGGATACTCGGCTACGGGGTTGGGTGTCGATGAGACAAGCGTTAGGAGACACCCTAACCGATAGTATCCTCCAGGAAAAAGCGAGAGAACTACACGAACGATTCGGTGGCCCGTCAAATTTTATGGCGAGCCGAGGTTGGCTTCGATCTTTCAAAGATAGACACGGCGTACACACTGCGAGCATCTCTAGAGAGACCAACGCGAATGAATTGGACAAATTCGAAGAAAATTTGTTGAATATGTTAGCTGCGGAAAACGTCGACGAGGAGAACGTTTATAATATAAACGAAACGAGTGTAATGTGGAAGGTCCTTCCACAGAAAATATTAGCTCGTGAAGGAGAGCGATTTTTGGATTGTAAAAATTTAAGAAAAGACCGCGTAACTGTAGCGTTATGTGCAAACGCTACTGGCACGCACAAGCTACTGCCGCTTTTCGTATACAAGTATAATAATCCTAGAGCGTTGAAGCACTGCAAACATGATTTACCTGTGGTATATAAAAGTCAAAGGAATGGTCGGATGGACGAGTACTTGTTCAACGACTGGTACGATAATTACTTCAAACCGAGTGTGATCCAACGTCAACGTCAAGAACATCGAGAGGGAAAGGTGGTCTTAATGGTTGAGAAGTGCATGCTGTTTGAAAAAGCACAAGAGGATCCGTACTTTAAATTGATTTATTTACCGCCAGGTAGCACGGTGACTATTCGACCGGTGGACCAAAACGTAGTCACGAAATGCAAGCAAATATTCAGGAATAAGTTACTCCTTCGGGCGCTTCAGCATGCTCATGGTGTTCGGCGGTTTTACGCAGAATATGACATAAAGGATTGCATGGACTTGATAAGCGGGGCGTGGGATGTCATAACGTCGGAGAATATTAATAGTTCCTGGAGAAAACTTATGCATCGCTCGCGACTAGATGCGGACCCAGAAACGCAAGACCAGGACTGTTTAGAACTAATTAGAGAAAGTATACCACTCGTTGGAGTAACCGAGTGGCAGGAACAATGCGAAGCTGAAGAAGGTACATGGTTGGAAACCGAAACTGATGGACCATTCGATCCCAGCGGTATGGGAGAAGTGGAAACTGAACAAATGTTTCGCGATTTAGCGATCTGGGCGGAAACGAAATCGGATAATATCAGATTACACGCGAATGTTCTGATAGATTATTACAATCAGAAACATTAATACGTTTTGTATATAAATGTATATATAAATGTGTACTCATACTTTGTGCAATACTATACATCCATTCCTCGATATACGTAATAGTTTCGTTTCTAGAAATTGCTACTTATCAGACTTGAGCTAATTGAAACGAGAGTAAGAACTAACTATTTAAATAATATCTATTTCGAATAAAAAATTATTTCAAATTGAACGAAAGAATTAATCTTCAATATAATGTGCAATAAAAATAATCTCGTTTCAGAAATATTTACAGCAATTTGCTTCGAGTTACATTTTCGCAAAACAATAAGCTTTTCGTAAATAAATATTCCACTGCTTATCAGACTCGAAAAATTTTTAATTGAAATGAAAATATTTGAAATAATCGCTATTTCAAATAATGAATTACTTTTTTATTTCAAAAGCGAAAGAAATAATTATAGAAATAATTTCTTTTAATAAATATTTACAGTAAACATTGCTACATGTAAAAAGACTGGAGACAATTTGCAAGGTTACGTGGAACGAGACTGTTTATATCGCAGAGTGGGTGTAGTAAATAAATTTCTCGTTAGGTACATTCGTGTGTTTGAACGTTACCGATATTACGTGCGTGTTGTTTGAAGACTAGCGATACTAAAACACTATTCTTTAATGTTTAATGATATTCTGTCATCATGATATGAATGTTTTTCTATCGTTACATATTAATTGTTTAACTCAAAATCATTCAATTTGGAATCACTTTCACCGTAATAATATAAAGCAGTTTTTTTAATGTTAAAGTAAAAAATATAAAACTGGCACGGCGACTCATTAGTTGTGCAGGTCATCGTAAGTGCCAAGAAATGATGGAAATAGCTTCGTCTTAACCAGATAGCTATCGTTGTGGCCAAATCTGAATTTTAATTTACGAATGTTCATCGCAATGTCAACTACATATATCTTGTACCCCATTACATCTTCGCTAAGTCATAAATCCCTAGTAATTGGAGATATTCACACGTATGATTAATATTGTAAATACATTGTGTACAGTATAAATAAAAAAAAAAAACTTAATATATTGATATTTCTTTAAAAAAATATTCGAATGGATAATTGCTATCGCAGCCCTGTATTGCCTTACAATTGTATTTTAATCACATTGTAGAAATTTGATTTATAAGGACCATAACGCGATTAGAAATATTATAATAATTAATAAATGCTCGTTGACTGGGAACAGGAGTTTAGAATAAATAACGTATGTAAGCTCGAGAAGTCCTCTCTTAATGTTTAACGCGTGATTCAGTCATTCTAGGGTTAGGGACAAAAATATATGCATATAATTCTTACCATGATCGCTTACAGTTTGACTAACCCTCCAGTCCAGGGAGCTGCTACTTCTATTTACATTATAAATGTTATCACAGGATTTCGTTGCGAGATATGTTGCGTGATGGCGCCGCCTCAGTAGTTTTGAAACTGGTCCCAAGTTTCTGAAAAACAAGCCGATTAATTTTGAAACTCGAAAATCACGGATGCGTAGGGTAGAGATAGGCAATACACTTATTTAGATAAAAAAGTTAAATTTTCTAAAACTTATATTAATAAAAATGCCCGTTCGTGCTTATTAGGGTATTAATTATGCATTTTTTTACGAGTTACTGTGCAGTATAGATACGTATTTCGTATGTACGTGTTACCAGATCAGCCAGAATTCTTGATTAATATTTGAGAAAATCTAAACTCTTGATTAGGTAAACTAATTTCAACTGGGCGCAAATAGATAAAGAATTTTGTTTAAATATGGACTTTTCGAATGAGTCTATTTTTTAGTACTTTTTGGTGCAAAGATAATTATAATTTAAATTTGTTTCTTTGCAGATTTCTTTGTTTACGACTTACTAAAGCCTAACGTAAATCTGGCCTACATTTGGGGAATTATTATACAATTTTAAGCTCTTAAAATTTAACGGGGGCGAATTTAAAAACGAATCTGACAAAGTAGGCGTTTCGATCAAAAAGGTTAAGAAACACTGCTTTAATCTCTCGAGGAATAAATTTTAAATGAATTTTACCTTTTCTACTCAAATAAATACATACAAACTAAAGCAATATTTTATATTTTATATTATATTACCTGTAAATTAAGTTTTAACATAAAAATATATATCCTGTCTCACTATATGTTATATTTTTTTTAAAATTCTGATAGGTATTGTGATCGTAGGTAATGGCAATTTTAATATAAAAGCAAGGATACACATATCCGTCAATATCCTTCAAGAGCTTAAATGAATGTATGGATTCGATAAGCACCGTATAGTTCGATAAAAATTTCGCCCATCTCTGATACAGCATGTCACTTACCTTTTACATTTTCGCGACTGTTCGATTGGCGGCTTGCTGTCGCAAACCACCACTTTGATTTCCGGTTCCGGGCAGTACGCGTCCACGCGTACATGACTGTAGGTGCCACGGACGCCGTCCGGAGACCGGAAGTGACGCTCGTTCGATGGCATTTGGACGATCTCGATTTTCGGTCTTCCCTCCATGTTCCCTTTCTCCCTGACACGATTTCCGATCTATTCTGTCCCGCGAGCGCACTTCTTCGTCGCGAGAAAAATAGAAAATCCACAACACACGACGCACAACAGCTTCGAGGCACGTTTCTTTCGTTAATGTATCAACTATCGGCACGTGGGTTTTCAGTTTTCACTCACAAACTATGATCGCTGATGTTCTTAAAATAGTCGTGGAATCCAACAGAGATTCTACTATCCATAGTTCTCTCGCCTTTGCACAGCATCATTACGGTCGATCACTCGGAGCGTTTGGCACGCGCGCAGTGTCTCGCTAGTCCACAATGATTCATAAAACACGTGCTCGATTACTCGAACCTCCGTCACGTTCATTCATTCCCACTACGATCACGTTTGTCCGCCGGCAATGATCGTGTCTGTTTTCACCGACCCACTCGAGGATCGATCGAACCACTTGGAACTTTGCGATCGCCAAAAATCGTCGCGGATGAAAATTCAACAAAGTGTAGCGCGATTTTTGTTCTCTGTGTCGTATCGTTAAGTATAAAGTCTTGATTCGCCACTGTACGTGAACAGTTTGTTGTGAAAATATAATTTTGTTTTTAGTGGAATCTAGAAGTCGGTCGTGATTTTTGTTCTCCGTGTCGCATTGTTGAATACGGAGTTTCAATTTCTCGTTTGCCACGCGTACAATTTGTCGTGAAAATAAAAACTTATCTTTCTACAGTCGAATATAGATCTTTAATCGGATTTGTCACTTCGCGCAAAAATATTTCTCGTAGAGTAAATACGGGTAAAGGTTCTAGAAATATATAGATTCGAATCTGTATATAAATAACTTTGGCGTTACAGCGTTCCTGTTCAAATGAGTTCGCCTATTCACAGCGCGAAAAGTTCCAGGGAACTCGTTTGGAGTTGTTTGTCGTTTCCATGAGCTTTTCTCTCTTCTCTTGCTGCGACTAGTGATTTCTACCGTTCGCGTGCTCGTTTGAGCGGTTTCACTCGCGACGCATCTCCGACCTGATTCGCGTCAAGCTGCAAACCGGTGACCTCGATTTCCTAAATAAAAGATCCGTATTAAAAAGGTATCGGGTGAGTCCGGAAAAACTAGGGTATTTTTGGAATTTTATCACGTGAAAATGATTTAAGATATTTGCTTAAATCTTGTTATTGGTACGTATTCTTATGAATTATTGATATACACGTAAATTGTTGCTACAGAATTCTGCGTTGCTAAATTGTATTTCGAAAGTGTATTGTCTGAGTCTGGAGGAATTAAAGTATTCTTGGAATTTTATAAAGTGAAAATGATTTAAAATATTTGCTTAAATCTTGTTATTGGTACGTACTCTTATGAATTATTGATATACACGTAAATTATTGCTACAGAATTTTGCGTTGCTAAATTGTATTTCGAAAGTGTATTGTCTGGGTCTGGAGGAATTAAAGTATTTTTGAAATTTTATACAGTGAGAGTGATTTAAGATATTGGATCGATACTGTGCAATGTTATTGGTGCGTACATTTATTATCTTACAAAAATGATAACAATCAAAGTATAAGACTTAAAGAAAGATCGAAGAATGAAACAGACAAGTTAAGGGAAAAAATATTTCCTCCTAATTGTGCTATATAAACCAAGAATCTTCAAAGTAATACACGAATTTTATAAACATATAGGAAAAAGTTCTTGAACAGATAGTAATTGAATAATGTGGTAATATCGAAAATAAGAAAACAACAAAATAGTTAAAAGTAACAAATTAAACACCTTTATTTTCATTTTCATTGTTATTTTTCATTCGTTAATTGAATTACGTTCTTATCAAGATTTAATTACTGTATTTCATTTTTCTATCGCAAAGTATTATAAACTAATTATAATGAGAGTTAATATAAGTGTAAATAAATAAATATAAAGTAAGTCAGTAGATATAAGCGAAATTATAAAGGAAAATGTTGATTTATTTTTGTTCTGATGAAAGTTAATCTTCTAATAATTTTATAAGGTATTAGATGTAATGGGAAAGTGACGTAATCTAAGCACTCCATAAATAGACTAACTAAAACTAACTTTAACGCATTCAGGACGAGCGTCACAAATTTATACCGGGTGTCCAGTGTAAATGTATGACGCTCGTCCTGAATAGGTTAACAATCGCTTTTCTCTATGACCGCGTGCTGCCTCTGCTTATTTTCGAGTTGGAATTACGCAACGACCAATTACGATTTGAAGGAGGATGATACTTGCTCAACTTGGACAATGATTCGGACAATTGCTCTAAAATTTCCCTCGTCAAATCTAGTCTGATTAGAATCTTTACAAAATCTTTATTATTACTCGTTTCTAACATATTTCTACTTTAAAATGCCTTTGATTTTATTATTTTTTTTTTATCACGTTGTAATATCGTAGTATTGCGAAGATATGTTACAATTATTATTTACAAATTTCGCAAATACTATACATAATGAATTTTAAACAGAATAATCATGGACGTTCTTTCTATCTAAACTTATTAACAGGAAAGTATATTACCCATATTAGGTATTGTTGGATTTAACACGGCTGCTTGATATCTAAGAAACTCAGCTTTTTGCTGTGCCCCTTTATAAAACTGTGTACAGTAATAAACACAGTCCTTTTCAGGTTTAACGTAACAGGAATACTAAACGATTAACGGAATGATTGCAGAGTGTATGGAAGGTTCAAGCATTGCTTCGGTACAAACAAGTTATGACAGCTTCATGCCTAATAATACTTCTCTTTGGACATATAAACTTAGGAGAGATTTAGTTGTCGATAATTAAAAAAAAATAGTTGCTTTTCTTTAATTATTCTGTCAATCCTTTCACATTTTGGGAATATTACACCTAGATATTAAAAATGTCGTATTAATAAGAAACTGAATTAATTTTCCCACGTTTACTAGATAAAACCCAGTAATACATCATTTCTTTGTTCAGTTTACCTTGTACTTAAAAAATAATTGTGGTCGTTTCTACAATTTTTCAATCAAAGACTGATGTATGTTTATTTTATTTACTTCTAGTCAATTTACTGTCACATACCAATCATTAGATTGGCTCTTTCACTGTACCCGAATTTTCAGATACGAAGCATCATTTTCTTACGTATCCTTCTTCTATTTCAACTCCATCCCCTGTACTATGCATTACTTAGATCCTTTTTCTTGTTTTAAACGTGTTTGCCTCTTTTATGAAATATAATCATTGAAACATAATCATTGTACTTCATTTTATTTCATACTTTATATCCTTTCTTTCTTTATGGTATCTTTATTTGTTTTCTTTCTCCACTCTGTTACGCTGAGTAATGATGTTAAAAATTTAAATAAATTAAATATTTAAGTAAATGAAATGCACCCTCTTTGAAAGTGTAGAATTCGCGACCGAGGAGGATTCATTATCGCAAATTTAAAAATAAAATGAATAAAATATGCGCCATCCGAGAATATATAATTCACAATCGAGGAAAATACACTGTAATAAATTAAAGAATTAAGTAAATAAAATACACGCCATTTGAAAATATATAATTCACATCCACAGAAAATACGTTATTGACCAAATATCCAAAATGATTACGTCGAATGTCTCAATACATCCTAAACATAGGTTTCTGTACTCATACAAAGATTAATTTACGTGTCGTGTCGCAATCAAGACGTCTTGGATTCACGGCACGCATTGTTTCCGATGATACTTTATGAAAGTCAGGAATCGTATTTCGTGGGTAGAAGAGCGTAAAGAAACGAGTTTGTCTGTTCTATTCGAGAA